AGCCGAATAATACCCTTCTTTATGCGGAAATTTCTAGGAGATTCTGTACTTTTCCCATACTCTGTATTGTAGTTCCATTTTTCGATCCGAAGAATATTTCCAGTGGCACAGAGTGTAGGAACTGATAAGCAGTTCAATGGAATGGAAGTCACAATAGACCGCGAACCTTTGACCTCTGGTATCCTTTACTATGTAAATTGGAACTTTGATATATTCCCTGCTTCCTTTTCGAATTCCTTTACATGTTGTTGGGGAGGGCGCGAATGGATAAATTTATTATCACTATATCATAAAGATATCGATTGAAGAGCACGAAGGCGAGTCAGTTTGGATTTTCTCAATATTGAACAGAAGCGAGAAAGTTCACGTGGAAGAAAAAGAACAGGTGGTGAAATCAAATTCGGAGGATAACATTTTCTCGCTGAGGCAATTCGGTAATAGAAGGAAAATGTGAAATACACTACAATGTATTTGTTTATTTGGAACATTCATTCGAAAGAATCGAAATTCGGTAATTTCGTTTCAAGTTTTTCTACCGTTCTCTTCAAAAACCAAAACACTCTTTTTTTTTTAGAAATTTATTTTTAATATACTCAAAATGGATATGAATCCTAAATACATGAATACATTCACGATTTCAACCTTTCTGTCATCGATCTTAACATTAACCTCATTAACATTTATATTTTCATATCTATATTGATGTAACATCATTGCCCAAAAGTTTGTCTAAATAATGAGATACTTCAACAGCGATTTTCAGATTTTTGTCACATATACTCACAAGAAAGTTGACAACAAATAAATGTTAATAATAACAATTATGATGATGCTACAACGGTCTCAAAATAGATCTCTGCGGTTTTCCACAACTCACATTCAATCTCGATGAGTATTCATTGCCTTCTTTTCCAGTTTGTTCTCTATCTGATGCTAATGAATTTTGCACTTACATGAATATTTCGCTTTCGAAAATATTTCTCATAAAGTCCAACATCTGAAGTGAAATACTCCAGTTTAATGTAAATGCTCTCGATTCTCATTTTCATTGATTTTTATCTAGTATCAGCCACTCATTTAATGTTATTCACAGTTTTTGAGAAACATGATATTGTTGTCATGACACTATAATATTTTAGGAATTCACGGTAGGATATCAAAAACAATGCACCTCATTTGAAGGAGAGGGAAAGCAATAACAGAACTTTTTCAATAATGCTAAAATTCGGGTCAGTAGGTTTTTACGGTAAGTTCAGGGCTGTGCTGCTTCGTAGTTTCATTAAATTCCTTCCCTCCGACGTTATTGGAAGACTTCGGGCATCTTTTATTATTATAGCAGTCCGACTAGGATCTCAACCGAAACAGAAAACAAACCTTTGTAATATTTTGCCTCCGGAAATTTCATTTTATGAAATAATATATTTCGGTTTCAACTTTAGGTACTCTTACTGAATCCCTTGTGATTAATGAACTGCAATATGGGCGTATCTGGCGGAAAATATTCGAATTTGGGCGATCTAACGATCCAAATACCAGTGTTAAAATTTTCAATAAGTATTGGGCTGCTTGAAAAAAACTAGGTCTAGATATGGGTGAACTTTGTATTAAGGTTCACGAAAAGAAATATAAATTTGTCGTCAATGTGAATGATCATCAGTATTGAACTAGATCCAAAAACCTTCTTTTGCCAACTGTTCATCATGCTATCCACACTGAAAACACTACTTCTTGAAAAAAATTGTTATACAATTGATGATTTTTCATTTTCAGTATATTTTTTTAGTTATTCGCCATCATGTACCTCGCCCTCAGTGACTGAGAAGTATGGTAGCCCACAAAATAACCGAATCATATATTTCGACTGCAACGAAAGTGTTTCCATGAGGAGTAATCCAAGCTGTATGAACAAGTTTATCGTTTTTTATGAAGTTTTCTCATATTTTTCGTGACACACAAGTGTTGCAACAGTATTTTCTGGCATATTTTTCCAAGTCCGAACCAGATTCTTGGGTAGAATGGAAACCGATCTAATCCCCTGACAGTTTCAAGAGATATTGAATTTGTTGCTCACTTCATCTGCTCACCTATCAAATGAATGAAGGATATTGAATTTGCTCCTCATTCCTCGTACACTCCCGTCAAATAAATGATGCATGTTTCGCGCTCTTTTCCAGTTTGCGTTCCTTTTTCTTTATCTATGAGAACGTGTTTCTCGAGGAAACATTCATCCATTCCGAATTCTCTCTGTACTATTCCGCATATTCTCTTCCGCCACATCTGGCATGTAACATTTCGGTCTTCATCGTATACCCAACCGTGTTGTTCTCTACATTTCTGTTTCACCACAAAGAAATATAGCCCAGGCATATTGGGAGTTTACCTTGAAATAAGAGATAATAAGCTGTAGACCTGTACAAATCTTTATTTCGGCAATCTGAAAGTTGTCTCAAAAGTATCAGCAAATTTGGTTTTCGCTTCCCATGATAATCGAGGTATAAAGACACAGGGATCGTGTATATTGTCAAATTCAAACTAGGTTAGGAAATGCAGAATGCTGCAAAACCAACTCTTTGAACCGATAATGACAATTTCACCACCAGATCCAGATGAACTAATGAGCACTTTTATTTTGTACTTGGAACACTGTTTGGAACATTTGGTGTTGTAATGAATATTACTACACCATAATAATCTTCCTCTTGAAAATGATCACTTAGTAATCGGAGCATGTGTCGAGGTGTTAAAATAATGGTTTGGTGTTGGGATAAAACTCCAGTAATATACAATATTTTGTACTTTAAAAATGGTTATGGTTGACATTTGACGTTGCAATGTTCTTCACTTGCCTCATCATTAATTGAAGCGAGTTTCGTGAAGAATATACATTTGACTACGAAATCCTTGACAAATATATTTGATAACGAAGATTATAATATTGGGAATTTTCCAACGACCAAAAGACATATTGTTTACCCTAATCATACGATTGACTTTGCGTTATGCTACATATGGATGAGCACCCTGTCTCAAAAAAGCTGAGCGTATAATTGAATGTTAGAGAAAAAAATCTGTCCTGAATTTCATACTGCACAATATTCATAATAGATGCAAATATCATTAAAACCATGAAAAGCGTGACAATTGCGAAAGAACTATTTTCTCACATTTCACCTTGAATATATCAAAAGACGGATACAAGATTTTATGGGACTTTTGAGACGACATTCAAAATGTTCAAATGAAGATTCGTACGAGTTTACAGCTTCTTATATGTCAATCCAATATTGACACTTTTTTATACCTAATGCCCTGCATCAAAACACGAACCACTTACAAAGTTCTATTAAATTCAGACTCGGTACGAATCATAAGACAAACCTTCGACGTGATTAAGAGCGGAGCTGGCAATAAGAGTCGGGGCGTATGTCGGATAGAGGGTCCTATGGTGAATACAAATGAGTTGACGTGTCACACTATGCGCTAACTTATTTCAAATTTCTCGCGGCTAGACAAAAATAAATCGCCACATCCACGGAGATGATTTCGTGGTAGATGATCTTGTTACTTCGAAAGTGCATTAAAGTGTCGAGTGTACATCCGGTGATATCAGATACTGGAAATATGTGAAAATTGAAAAAAATCATAACTGTCTAGACTGGACTGGACTGGACTGGACTGGACTGGACTGGACTGGACTGGACTGGACTGGACTGGACTGGACTGGACTGGACTGGACTGGACTGGACGGTATGGGACGAAACAGGCGGGCCGGGATGAAACGGGTAGGGACCGATCATATGGGACAAAACGAGACCTGACGAAACAAGACGGAACGGAACGGAACTGGACGGGACTAGACGAAACTGAGTAGATGACACAAAAACCTTCAATCTACTTACTGTTACGACGTACCGCAGTTAGCAGGGAAGTTAGCCAACTAATTCAAATTATTCGACCTTCGGGAGTACGTATTGTAAAAAATGGAAATATAAAGATCATTAGAGAACACAGAAAAAACTTCATGACCTCGAAAATTCACTTCTTCCTCTCAGAAATCAACTGACTACCTTAGTGTTTTTTTGTTGTTATATAGTAAGGAGTGTCTATCCAAGAATGTTGAATCATGCATTAGGTTTTTTATTTCGATCGCAATACTCCAAATAAAACCTGTTTGTGATCCAGGGGATGAGAAATCAAACAATTTTCTATGATTGTCATATCCTCCCAGAAATTTAGTCAAAAACATACCAGAAGATGAAAATTGGGAAGTAGCAAAATATATGTCAGAACTTAAATAATCCATGATACAAACATGGGACTAGTCTGCACCACAAATGCATCTAAATCATTCTTATTCTTCCCTTTCCCTGCAGTTTATTTTTGGTAGTTGTGTTGCAGTGGAAGCTGTAGAGAAAGATAGAAGACAAATCTTGTTTGGTGGTTCATCATCTTTCCAACGATGAAATTAAACAGGATTATGAGGTTTTTTATTGAGCGACTCATTTGAATGTGAATGTTAGTGTTGACGAAATGATTTGAGAATACGTCCGAGACACTTTTTTATTTTACTTTACATTTTTACATATTTATCATACCACATAAATAAATACCTTCGTGGCCACACATTCACTACTTATCGGTGAATTAGCACGACCTCTCGACTCACAGTCGAGAGGTCGTGAGTTCGACTCCCACCAAGACCAGATATTTTTATTGAAAGAATGTGTCCAGTTGAAGTTGGTATGATTCTGTAATGGAACATGGCTGATATGCTGCATATCGTGATGATGCAGTAACTGATTAATTTATATTGCTAATGACTAACATAGTCGAAACCGTTGAAACAAAAAAATTTATGGTAGGTTACGTTTGGTCACAAGATTAATTCCTCTTTGCAACATTCTGAAGTGAACAGTTAATGTTCAAATTACATCAATTTATACTCAAGAGAAAAAATTGAAATTTCAATCTTCATTCTTTCGAATAACTTTTGATTGGAATTCACATAAACATGCCCACATTGAAGAGATAATACAGTTATAGAAGTACTTCAATATCACTTCATCAATATTTCTTGAATTTCCAAGAAACTTTTGCCTCTGGTCTCAGGAAACATCAAGAACAGGAAAATGAAACTGAAGAAACAACTGATACTGAAAATTCCAATGCAGTAGTGTACCCCCCAAAGCTCTGATAAAATAGGAAAAGCTGTAGTCAAAATGAATATACAGAAATTCACTATTATCAAAGCAGAAGATGTAGCTACTGACCTTAGGTCATCTGAAAAGAATTCACTAAGAATTGCTGTGGGTATTGAGCCCAGTCCTAGGGACAAGCTAGAAATGTAAACCAATATAGAGACAACTGGGAGCCACCTGATATTATCGATTATAGGGGAATCCACGTCATTCAAATACAGATAGACAGCAAGGATACCAAGCGATATTCCACAACCAGTAGAAGAGAAAAGTAGCAACGGTCTCCTACCGAATTTTTCCACAATATTCATTGTTACGAAGTAGCAAAAAAGTTTCACAGATCCAACCAGGATTGACACAGCGTTTCCAGACATGTTTGTTCTAGCATTATTGAAAATGAGTCCCATGTAGGACATGATAACAGGAATTCCTGACATTTGAGTTGACAGACACGAACCCAAACCGATGATGAATCCTTTCCTCGATGCTTTGGATCTCAGAATATCCTTCCAGCTACCTTTTTCTGACTTTGATAGGGATTTTAGTGTTGTTTCAATGTGCTTGTAATCTGCTTCGATTTCTTCGCTGCTTTTGTTACTTCGCAACCTCTCCAATATTGAAATAGTCGTTTGTTTTTCTCCTTTGGACGCTGTGTAGTATGGCGATTCAGGTAACACCAAACAGAAAACGATCAGTTGTGGAATGAGAGGCATGGTAGAGAGTAGAGTGAAAACTTCGACAGTTGTTACTGCACCTACAAGGAAACCATAAAGACTTCCAAGGGGGATGAAAAACATCATCAGACATCCATGTTTAGCTCTGTTGTGATCTTCACAAATTTCATTTAAATATATTGGAAGCACAATCATCAATAGACCCATACACAGTCCTATGACACTTCTTCCAGCGTAGTACACATATATATGGCTTCCAAAGGACAGTGCTGTATTTGCCAGTAAGAACACTGAAGATATTCCGATCATCGTGTTTTTTCTTCCGATAACATCAGGAAGTTTTCCAAATAATATCGGTGCTAGAATCATCACTAATGGAGGTATCCCAGCTAACAAAGATATTTGGAAAGTGGTGATTCGCTCTCCTAAGGGGTTGACCTCTGGATCAGGTGATTGAAGTTGAGGAATTACAGGGGACGTCCAAACGAGGCAGCAGCCATACTCGAACTGAAGAACATTGGCTGGAAATAAAAATTATTGGAATGAATATTATTTTCAGATCTGGAACAAATACATATTGGATACACGAAAAGAACATAACCTTTTTATCCGATAGCTTTTTCAGGATAGTATAAATACCGAACTCAATTTATGAAGTTATTGTATTGTTTATTTGTTTACCGCCCACTTAGAGAATTAATTATTTTCTAGCGCCCCTCAAATTTTTTCTTAAGAATCACAATCGAGGGTAATTTTGTAATATTTGGAAACTTTCATTCATGTTATTGAAAGAAACATTTCAATTTGAATTTCAAAACCAATCTATTGTGAAGGATGAATTTGATGATTTTGAACAATTTTGTTAATATCAGGATGGAATTTACTCAAAAACAGCCGTAAGTCACCGCGTTCGGTAATCTACAACCGATTTCTCTTTTCAGTTAGCAACGTTGCCACAGCACTGGATCCACGTTCACACAAATACGATGATGGGAATGCTATCAGAAATAGTTGAACGATGGACCTCAATCCAGGGTACAATTGCGAGATTGGCTTTTGTAGCCAAAATTCTTGGTATCCATTTTTGAAAGTTTTCTCACAGTTGGCTGAGCTGAGCGTTTCTTTTCCAATTCTTGAAAGTAAGTCACACCTTGGTCTTTTCTATCTGGATGCATTTTATTCAAATCATCTTGTAGCCCTGAGGGTTTCATCGCTCCATTCGAAATGTTTTTTGACGAAGAAGGCACACTGGCGAAAATGGATTTGTAGGACTTTCAATAAATCCATATTTTATATATTTCGCGCTAAACTGCCGCTTCTTCTTTTTTCCTTCCGACATATTTTGTCTTCAAAAATGCTGAAGTGAAGAATCGAGTATTGGAAACTTGCTAATGACACCACTCACAGTATTTACCACAGCACTTTACCTACCTAGTCGCTAACTAAATCCACTTGTTTTCGTGATATCATCGAATGACATTACTGGCTGGAAGCGCGCGCGCTTTTATATGAGGCAGCGGGCGGGCCTAGTACTTTCGAAAATGGAGACTAGAAACTTCTCGCTTCGCATTTAATCTAACCACCATCTATTGTACAGTTTGACAACTATCGGATAGGAAATAGTCACTGTCTGGTCCCCTAGATGGCGTTACACGAGGAAACGCGCGTTAAGCGTGAAGGAGCGTTAAAGTTTGAGTTGAAAGCAAAAAAAAACATTTTGAAATTACCCATCACCTCCCCAATCCGCTTGAACGCCTCCCAATCTTCTCCGTGCCCTTTACTGCTCCCCTATAGACCTCCAGTACCCACAAGGGGGCATTATCGTCCACTTTGAGAAAGACTATTGTATTCTTTGTTTGTCGGAAGGCAGAATCACTGTCAAGAAGCTATCTGAAGAATCATACTCGAAGAGTTGTTGTGGATGGAGTTGTATCAGAAGGAGTGCCACAACGATCTATCCTTGGACTCTTGCTTTTCAGCTCGTATATCTCTGATTTTCATCTGCTTGTGATAAAATGCAATAGACATCACTATGCCGACGACACGCAGCTATATTTCTTCTTTTCGGTCGTGATTCTACAGCTGCTCAGTCATATGTTAATAACGATCTTCAAGCCATCTTTGACAATTCAGTTCATTAGCTGAATTTGAATAGATCTGCAATAATTTTGTTTGGACCTGAGGAGAACAGACGGCTCACCAACTCCATTTTTCAATTTCGCATCGAAAATGAAATTGTTTCCTCCGTGACCAATATAAAAACTTCAGGATTGTGGTTTGTTCCAGAATTCACTTCACTCAACTTGTCAGCTCTTTGAAACAAACTTCTTATAACGTTCTCCCGAGGGATCCATATTGGCTCCAACTCTTTTCTTATTGTATATCAACGACTCATTGGTAAAACCAAGGATCCAATATATTGCTTTGCTGGTGACATCACACTTGTCTAGTTGTTCCATTTGGATTCCAGAACATCTGCTGCGGATGGATATCTTCACCAGCAGTAGGAAATCGCATATGAGAATCTAGAAGTGATTTCGAATCGGGAGGAAAGTACCCAGGTTCCATTCAATACCACAAAAACTCAGTCATCGGTTTTCTCCAAAAGGATAAATACCTCCGAACCGGATATAATAATTATAGAACAGACAATTCCGCTTTCTGCTTCGATAAGTTTGTTGGCAGTTTGAATGGACACCAATATGTCGCTGGAATTGCAAAGTCTGCTTCTCCAAAGCTGAACCAGAAAACTGTGAACACCTCAGCCAATTTTGATGCTTTATAAAGCTCAGATCAAACCTTTGCAGTATTATTCTTATGAATGGAGCTCTCTCCGTAAGCATACCCTGAACCCACTGGATTCCATCCAGAAAAAAGCCATCCGCCTGCTTGGAAACGCGAAGAAAGGTTGGAAATTTGTCTTTCTCTTATTGATATTTCCATGGGAGGTGTTCAAGTGACTTGGCACATTCAATTTCACCAAGAGCGGTACACATCAGAAATACGCGACCAACTGTGGCTGCTCATCATTTCGGGGTTTACCTCAGTACACCTCGAACTTCACTGTTCAAGAACACCCTCATTTGAAGAATATTCCGATATATCGTAGACTACTGAAGCACTAACAAAAACAGTACCTATGCAGCTGTGCTAAGACAGTGATGTTATTACCTAGAAATAATCTATCATAGAGTAACCATGATATTTTTCGATGTGTTTTCGCCTTTGGGAGGTACCTGGATGGTGAAAAAGGTTCAAGATTAGAACCTTGTGGTACCCCAGACGTAACTACGTACTGAGCCGATTTGAAAGATTCATATTCGACAAATTGTTTTCTGTTAACTGATATACAATCAGTGTAAGCAGTTGGTTACAGAGTCCCAATTCTGTCAGTTTGTTGAGAAGAATATGATGGCCTATTTGATCGAAGGATTTTTGAAAGTCTAAATGAACAGCACTTGTCTTTGCTTGTCCAGGTACATACAGAGATATTGATTTAAACATGCAAGATTTGTCATACATGATCTTTGTTGTACAAAGAGTAGGAGAAAGCAATATATTCGACGCCAATTTAGGACAGATTCAAATAATTCTACCAAAATTTAAAGAAAGTGTAAATTACCTGTACATAAAACGAAGTATAGAAAAACTGTGTCACTTTTCCTCTTGCGATCATTTGGATCCGAATTTTCCATTGAGCACACTATTGATGACTAAATTAGACACCTTACGACAGATTTTTTTCAGTAATTCCGTAGGCAGTATTTTAAATTTTCGCTGATTTTATGTTAAGTGAAATTAGTTATTCAGACATGAGCGCAACTGGTAGTTTTACAAAGTAAGAAACAATAGTATAACATATAAAAACAACGTATACAAATTAACTTCACAATTAAAATGAAAACACACTTTCAATTTGGCAAGTGTGGAGTAAATCGTCGGGTAAAATAGCAAGAAACAAATAACAAATATTTTTTTATCGAAGATACACACATTTTGTGGGTTTTGCCACTGTAGTGAAGGATATATTAAATAAATGAGTATCAATTCATTTCAGTAGTATATTAACAGGGCTCATCTAAAAAATAACAACTACTTGATTCAATTAGAAATGGAAAAACACAATACGCTAGCGTTTTTGGATACTAAAGTAAAATCCACATTATAAGGAATTTGAAATCAAGAGCAATTGCATTTTCAATTCTAAATTCCATAACAAAATTCTCCAATCAATTGAGAATCACTCAGTAAAAAAATAATTGAAGGAAGAAGTTTCTCCTCCAGAAATACAGGGGTCAAACCCAAATATTACATAAATCCATTTGTTGAAAATTTATCTGATAAACTTGAAATGCTACTCAGTACCGAACAAACTTTAGTGGCCTTTTCAAATGAAAATACAGCTGGAAAGCATTTTTTCGAAACAAAAAACAAAAACACCAATTATAGTGTACACATTGAACTGTCTAAGCTGTCATAAATGTTATGTTGGTCAAACCGGACGGTATCTTAAAACACGACTTTCAGAACACATGAGAGACTTGAGAAACTGAATATAAAAAACTCCACAGCTCTCGTCGAACATCAAAAAGAATATGGACTCATTTTTGATTTTGATCATACAACAATTCTATATGTTCAATCATATTTATCCCAAAGACTTTTGAGCGAAATGATACAAAGTCTCAAATGCGATGTGTTAACACTAGAAGATATGTCGATGGCCCTAATACTGCATATTTCAATTCGATACGCAAAACACCTCAATAATTCACCCTTTTTCGTTCTTTTTCTTTCCGCCATTGATTAAAAAACAGACACAACCTTATTAGATTCACAGATAAAGCCATTCCTTTGTTTTATTTCGTTTTGTATTGGTGTTGTCTCAGAAATTTGGTTGTTGCAATGTTTTTTATTTATTTTTTGATATGTTTCTAATTTGTCTGATGGTTTTCAAAATAGTAATATTATCAACACAAGAAAACTACTTTTCGGTGAGTAATTTAATGAAGAACTCGATATTTCTTGTGAAATTGAAACGATAATAATCGTATATGTTTTGTGGAAGGTGTACGTTAATGAAAATTCATTGTTACAAAGCCCTGAAGAATAATTTATCTATAACCGATGTTGCCAAATGGTGAAATAGAAACGAATCCCTTTAAATGTTGAATGCATTATTTCATTCCTCATTTTTAAGTATTTTAATAATTTTTCAAAGAAGAAGGTTGAAATGTTTAAAATGTGCTGTTTTAGAGCTCTTTTATAAAAACTACTTGATTTTCGTCAGGAGGAACATTCCCCATTGTCTTTTTTAGTATTTTCATTTCGATAGGGAAATAATTTAAAAGATTAATGATCATAATCAACTTACTCTCAATTCCCAGAAGTAAAATATTAATGTGATATACAAATCATATGAATCATATAAATCATATCTTTCCGTATAGCTAAGTATAACTTTGCTAATCAGAAAGAATTTTTTGTTTTCAACAATGATTCGCGGTTACGTGCTCACACACTCAAATTAAAAAAGGAAAAATTCGCAACGATGTTATGAATTCCGACTCAGTGAACAGTTTCAAAAACAAAATAGACATTTGCTTATTTGAATAACTTTTTTCGGGATCAATTGCCCTAACACCAAACTGATATTTTTGCACTCGACGCGCGTTTCGCCAAAAAACTTAGCATCCTCAGGAGAAGATCAATTTTCTTCTCCTGAGGATGCTAAATTTGTTGGCGAAACGCGCGTCGAGTGCAAAAATATCAGTTTGGTGTTAGGGCAATTGATCTCGAAAAAAGTTATTCAACTTTCACACCAAAGGTTCCAATCTCATCGTTATATTTGCCTATTTGCTTAATCGGCTCTATGCATATTTTAATTATTTTTCTTTTCTTTTTGCATGCATTGTATTAACTCGTCGATATCCTTCATTTTTAGGCTTACATAGGACTTTGTCCTCAGCCCTTATTTATATGTAATAATAATAATAATAATATAATATTACATCGGAATATTTTCAAATCTTATATAAAGGTTAGCAATTTTCTGTTTGGAATGGGACCATTGACATATGACATGCATTAACACGAGCAAAACTTTTGAAACAATCCTATATAATCGAAAAACTTGAAATATGATGAAAAATAGGGTAATTTCATAACCGACGCCCTTTCCATTGGATAACCTTCATTCATTCTAAATATACGATAAGAATAATACATTTTCGTTGAACTCAGTAATAATTAGAATACTTTATAATAATGAGTAGATAAGTTTCTTTGGGTGATATTCATAGAAATACGAGTAATGTCAGAGAAGAAAGAGCAATTTACCTCAACATGGGGGTGTGTTGTTCTTAATAATATTATATTCTTTGGAAATTTTTTAGTTTGGGTTTTTGTGACCTACATCGAAAGGAATCACAACAATTGGGCGATAAAAATGTACAAACAAAAAAGTACATTACACTTTGACATGATACATAATACTATTCATGAATCAAACTTTAAAATTGCGCATATCCCACTTCGGAAACCAGAAAAGTCTAATTTATTCATTTACGTATTTATGTATTCAGTTATTTATCTATTTTATACACTGTTCTAAAGGTTACACCCAACTACAGAACAGATATATAAGTCAAATCACAATACAATACAAACACAATAAGTTATAAGATAAAAACAATACATATAGAATTAGCTGAAGTAAAAAGACTTAATCTCAGAGATGGAACATTGAAAAATGTCGAGCTGACAACTTGCATAATTGCATTTGACACACATGTTATACAGAGGTGAACGTTTTAGAATATCTGTACGTGGTTTCGGCAGATAAAAAGGATTAACCTCTCTAGATGTTTGACTAAGTAAATTGAAATCAAATTTTTGCAGAATATGTAGGTCAATAATTAAATCATTAATCAGTTTAAGAAGAAGAATTGTGTGGTGACAATCACGACGGCAACTCAAGCTATTCATAGCAATACATCATGGGGGAATCCAATTGGTGGATAGATATTGTCTGATCTATAGGAGAGAAGTTTTAGGAAACGACGCTATACTTATGTGCAATAAATCCATACATTCTGTTCGCAGCAGACAAAGTAGCTTCAACGTGTGGTACGAAGGAAAGTTTTGTGTCGAAGGTAACACCTAGATCGGTGAATGTGAGAGGCCGTTGAAGTGGAATATTGTTCATTAAATATTGATATGAAAGTGGACAATTTTCCAGTGTGTACGTCATTACATTACATTTACTCGCGTTAAAAAGAAGATTGTTGTGAAAACACCATTGCTCAACACGTTTCAGATTGAGGGAGAGTGTATCAAACAACTATGTCGTTTATGAAGGTGTTAAAGAGAAATGGACCTAGGTTGCTTCCTTGTGGAACACCAGAGGTAGCTGCATATTCCAAAGATTTGAAGCCATTGAATATAACATACTGACGCCTGTCAGTGGAGTGTGATACAAAGAGTTAGATCAGGGTCGAAGAAAAGCCCCACCTATACAATTCCATGATCCACTTCCTGTATTGATTATATGAAAGGGGTAGAGAATGAGATTATTTAGGCCTCATCCAGGGCCGTGGCTCAACTAGAAGTTGAGCAAATGCCCACAGAGCAAGTCTAGGTTTTCTTAATTGAGATAACAATAACTCAAGAACTGGTCGATACAAAAAATTGAACATTATATAGGGTCCTCCAACAGGAGCTAATGGCGTCTGTCAAACTGGATCATCAGATCTGTGAATGGATATTGAGAACCAATACACTTGGCAACTCCGCTCTAGACACGATCAATTTTATTGGTCAACAGACACGCGGCCAATTTCAATTCTTGCTTTTCGAATTATTTTTTTTTCTGCAAATTTAAAGAGATTTTGGGACCGATTAGGCTTGATAAGATTAATATACCCCTTACTCGATCAAACTATCATTTTCCATAGCATGAAACAAGCACATTGCTTGCAAGTTATGTATTAATTGCACTCTGATTTTTTTTACACCAACTTCTTCCAAGTCTTGAGTTCAAGAAAAATACGGTTACCTTTAAATATTTCCCAAAAGATTTAATTTCCACCAAGTAATTATTCGATGATGATGATGAAGAGGAAAAGAATGGATGTGGCTTTCTATTTCTCCAATACCTTTCTTCTCCAAGAATTATAATGTATTGTATTTGTGATCATAAATGAAGAGAGAAGTTTTTTATTTGCTTAGTATTTCTTGAATTTCAAGAGTACTTTTGCCTTTAGTTTCTGGTAACATGTAGTAAATGAAGATAAAACTGAAGACGCAACTAACGCTGAAAATTCCAATACAATAGTGAACTCCTAAAAAGTGAGAAACGATAGGAAAACCGGTAGTCAGTAGTAATAGTAACGTATTGCCTATTGTCATGATAACTGACGTAGCTATCGCTCTGACATTGTTAGGAAACAGTTCAGTGAGGAGAGAAGTGGCTATTGAACCTAATCCTAGCGAATAGATGGCTATGTAAATTAGTACGCAGGCTACCGGCAACCACCTGATGTTCACGATCATTGGTGAATGGATGCTGTTCAAATAGAAATGAACAGCCAGAACACCAAGTGGTATTGCAGTGCCAATGGAGGACAAGAGAAGCAGCGGTCTCCTTCCAAACCTTCCCACGATGGTGATCGTCACGAAGAAGAACAGTAATTTTACACATCCCACTAAAATAGCAACCATATTTCCTGATAGATTTGTACCAGCATCGTTGAAGATGGGACCTAAGAAGCCCATGATGACAGGAACTCCCGACATGTGTATTGATAGACAGCATCCCAAACCGACAATGAATCCTTTTCTCGAAGCTCTTGTTTCAAAAATGTTCTTGAATCCACCTCTATCAGCTTTGGAGTTAGCTTTCAACATTGCTTCGATCTGGTTATAATCTTCTCGAATCTCATGGTCAGTCTTGTTGCTTCTCAACTTTCTCAAAATTTTCATGGTTGCGCCTTTATCTCCCTTGGAAGCTGTATAAACCGGTGTTTCAGGTATCAATAACCAGAGAAATATCAGTTGTGGTATCAAAGGTGCTGCACACAGAAGAGTGAACAGTTTGATGCTCGTTATTGGACCCAAAAGGTATCCGTAAAGACTCCCGAAAGGGAGGAAAAACATCATCAGGCATCCATGTTTGGCTCTGTTATGGTCCTCGCAAATTTCATTCAGATAAATCGGTAGTACAACGAAAAGTAAACCCAAACATAGATTTGCAATACTCCTTCCAGCGTAGTATAAGTAAATATGTTTTCCAAACGCAACAGCTACGTTGGACAAGAAGATTCCCAAGGATATACATTAATGTGTTTTTTCGTCCAATCACGTCTGGAAGTTTTCCAAAGAAGAAAGAACCAAAAATTGTGAATAACGAAGGTAAACCAACTAAGATTGATATTTGGAACGTCGTGATTTTTTCTCCCAGTGGGTTGATTTCTGGGTTGGTTGATTCCAGCTGAGGAATGACGGGAGAAGTCCAGACCAGAGACGATCCATTCACAATCATCAAGAGGTTAACTGAAAAAAAAAGGATCGTAAAAATATTACATCAGGCTGTTCCGCCAATTGTTTTCATAGTTGAAAAACCAGTGGTTGGCCTCACAATACCAAGGTGGCCACAGAAGTACCCAGCCTGACCTAGAGATGGCGGTAGTTGTTCGAAAAATGTCAGGTTTCAGGTAGGTTTCAAGTTTGAAGGCGCTGCGTTGTTGAACATTTAGTGAACATTTTCGGTGAATTTGTGGAAATGGAGAAAATTGGTCTCAAAGAGTTTAAGAACATCGTATGCAGTGCAATCCATTTAAAACGAGGTCAACAATTATACAGGAGACCAAATTTCCAATAATTCTATCTAGAGACAAATATGGAAGCAATAAATCAGAAAAAGGGATTTTTTATTAATTCTTGAATTAAAATCTGATGACTGCACAATGCGGAGAAAAAAATTTCTATAGTGAATGTTCAAAAACGTCCATACGTCTAAAGAAACGAGCTTCCATTGCCACTTTAGACTTCAAATGACCCTACAGAAGTGAGATGCGGAGATCTTGGTGGTCATTCTGTAGGACCTCTTCTACCAATGGAGACTTGCTTATTTGAGTAAGAGATAATACTTCAAATTACTGACTGGTATGTTTCAGAAGAATGAAAATGGAGGAAACATGAATACCTTCAGTTCAATCTTCACTATCATTTATATTTATAGTGTGTTATACTTTTGATGAAACCACCATCAATATTGAAGAGTTGCTGTACCTTCCAGAATTCTACAATTCTACAAATAACATATTTGAATGGAAATATGTCATTCTACAATTCTACAAATAACATATTTGAATGGAAATATGTCACTCTAAAACAAGTGGATCAAAGGTTTATAGACTTACCTGTCAAAACTGAGAAGTACAGAAAAAACGTATCCCTTTTTTTAGTTGAATTGGGTTTCAACTCTTGAATTCGAAACTCATGATTGACTGGTTTGTAAGTAATTACTTTCAACGAAACCATTTCATTATCGTGATGAATTGTCATTTCAATACTGTCTTAATGGAAGTAGAGCAGTAAATGTAATCTTCTTCCCAATGTCATCTACACATTAATTTCATATGGAAATCACTTTGAATAAGAATTACTTGAGGTATTACGCTATCTTGTTCAATTATTGACACATTTGTATACATGGTGTTCCATTAAAAAAACTAATTATTACAGTTTATTGTATGATTTTTACTATAAAGGGTTTTACAAAAACTACGACACGTGTTTCGCTCCTATGCCAGAAAGGCGTAACTCAAATTTCCTTGTTTTGGGATATAAGGAATTTTAATGAATTTCAAAACCGCACCTACATAGTTAATTTTTTTTATTTTTTTTTGTAAATACAATAAAGATTGACACGACAATAACACGATAATTAACTTGTCTTACGTAAACTACTATTTCAGTTTTAAACTGAGATACGGCTAATTGACTAAGCAATTGTGAACAAATATTTTAGATACGTCTCTTTGCGTTAAATATAAATCAATAGATAATGTTCGATTCTATTTCATACCACATGGACTTGGATATGAAATTGAATAATAAATAAAAAATTATCTAGAAACGATTCATTAATAAAGTGATACATGAAGAATACGCTACATTTGTGGGATATTGAAATCATTTTCCAGAAAACAAAACATATTTACACTGGAAATGAACCCAAAAGTAAACTAGAATACGAATGGATAAACATAAATTTTGTTCAGTGTCCCAGAATTGCAACCGATTTTTTATAATTCCAGACAAATTTTTCATTATATTGGCTTTCTTCTGCGAAGAAATTCCAAGAACTTTTGTTTGTTTTTGTTTATTGTTAAAAAATTAAGATCAAATGATGGACAATCAAAGTCATTTTTATATGTGATATTATATAAACCTCTGTAGACGTTAAGCTGAACCATATCATGTAAATATGGCCTCGGCTCTGTACGAGTTAACTTTGTATTGCGAGGAAAAACCTCCCCAAATGTAAAAATGCTCTAACTCCGTTGGCTGGACCTCGGTTTTATGAGCAACACTTTTTATGGCTTTTAATTTTCAAACTGCATTTGACACTGATAAGAACCCTTTACAGCGCTGATACTGCGGCAAATTGAGGTATCAATCAGGGAAGCTACTAATTGTAAGTGACGTATCTCTGTGAAGTTCAAATTGTAAATTGCCAGAAATCCTAAGCGAAGTATGGACATCTCTGAGAATCGGCCGTTTTGCTTGGAAATATGACTTACGTCCAAACTGCTTAGGTTTTTGTTTCATTTTTGAGATACGTCTTATATTTCTAGCACTTCAGCCACACAATACGCACAAGATACGTCTATTTCGCTGAGGAAATGGATTGAATACAACTCAAAGGAATTTGGAATAAAGGGATAAGAAATCCAGTGGAATTTGAGACATGTTTTTTAGGCTTAGGAGGACAGAATAGCATAAATTGCGTCGAATAATTTTTCTCACAGGATTGAGTCCGATTCAAAATTATTGATCAAAATTTTACTCTTCAGGCTCAAAATGAATGTGGCAATGGCAATGTATTGGAGGTTCAATCATTTTTTGGTTTTGTGCAACCAAAACGATCTTTCTGTGGATCGGATCTTCACATGTGATGGAAATTGGATCCTCTACGACAAGAGGAGACGTCCAGGATAGTGGTGGGTCACCACTGAGCCATCCAGGCACTTCCCAAAGGCGGAAACCCACCACGGCATTGGTGAACAGAAGAGATGTCCGAAAATTAACAATCAACCATTTCGATAACTTTCTCATCGGTAGAACCGCCAATCAGGACTAGGCAAAAGGGCTTTCGTCGATTCGTCGATCAAGTATCCTCTGGGATATTACAGTTTGAAGTAGACTGTTTTCAGGGTTGAACCACGTCTGTAATTTTCATCTTTTCGACGTTTCGGCTCCTGCTTTGGAGTCATTATCAAGAATCACTTGGAACTGTACTTACGTGACTCGTGGACGAGGTCGTAATCTCCCTTGCTCCCAAATCTCGTCACTAGCTCTATGCTTGCTGTGTTCAGCTCTAAGTTCGGAAAATTTTCGTTGAACCAATGTGATAATTTGAGTAGATTTCTAACGAAATTCGTAGTACTATATTTCCTGGTTGAAGAACAGAAAAAATCAGCTTCAGAACTGCTCAATGAAGGCTGAAAGTTTCCATGAACTCGAAATCTTTTCTCAATTTCAGATAGTAGATTTTCATACCAAAATGTTAACAACTTTGACAATATCAATTTATTTCCAAATGAAAATATACATGGATTGATTGTTTTTGACAAATATTCCACATACGGATGGAATTATAGTAATCGTACTACATATTTAGGTAGATAATGAATGTTAAGCATAGAATGTCTTCATTCGGGTTTGGAGGCCGTCGTAGTTTGGAACTATGGCTTCCCGTTCAAGCCGACTGTGGTATCCATGATCGGGAGTAAGTAGTTTCACATCTTGAAACAGCATTGTGTTCCGCTTCTGCCAATTCGTCTATTTGACTTAATGTACAGTTTTTCTGATGTTCATTCAGCCTTGTACCAATGGATATTTTGGTGGTACCGATATAAATTTTTCCGCAAGTGTATGTACACAATATAACACCGCAGATGATAGTGGATCTCTTTTATCTTCCGCAGGTTACAAACTACGACGGCCTTCAAACCCGAATGAAGATACTGAACATATCGGCCTCGTTAAGGTTTTGTTTGTGAAAAAATTAATGTACTACAAATACTGTTCACTTAGTTGAAGGTTTGAAAATGTAGAATTCAAGAGGCTGAAAGTTATTTCATTCGTATTACATGTTGAATAACAATCTTTTTTCGCATAAAATGTCTCTTGGGCAACTAGTGAAAAGTTATAATAATACTAACTACAACATTAAAAAAAAATTAATGGAACTGCTCTATCTGCTCAATATTTCTTGAATTTCAAGAAAACTTTTTCCTTTGGTTTCTGGTAAGAAGAAGTACATGAAAATGAAGCTGAAGATGCAACTGATACTGAAAATACCTATGCAATAGTGGACTCCCATTAAGTCGGAAACAATAGGAAAACCAGTGATCATAATTAACAGAATGACATTAACGATTGTCATAACAACGGAAGTAGCTATTGATCTGAGGTCGTTCGGAAAAAATTCAGTAAGGAGAAAGAAGGCGATGGAACCTAGCCCCAAAGAATATATAGCTATATAAAATAGTATGCAAGCGACTGGCAACCACCTGATGTCTGCGATTATTGGTGAATGACTGCTTTTCAGATAGAAATAGACAGCGAGAACAGCAAGTGGAATGGCAGTACCAAAAGAGGACAAGAGAAGTAGCGGTCTTCTTCCAAACCTCCCCACAATTGTGATCGTTACGAAGAAGAACAGTAATTTTACACATCCCACTAGAATAGCAACCATATTTCCCGATAGATTTGTACCAGCATCGTTGAAGATGGGACCTAAGAAGCCCATGATGATAGGAACTCCAGACATGTATGTTGACAGACAGCATCCCATACCGATGAGGAATCCTTTTCTCAAAGCTCTCGTCTCAAAAATGTTCTTCAAGCCACGTTCATGAGTTCTGGCGTTAGCTTTCAACATTGCTTCAATCTGGTTATAATCTTCTTGAATCTCATAGTCAGTCTTGTTGCTCCTCAACTTTTTCAAAATTTTCATGGTTCCGCTTTTATCTCCTTGGGACCATTGACATATGACATGCATTAACACGAGNCGTTTGGCAATTCCTCGTGGTTCTCAATCATTGTTATTAAAATAACACATAAACTAATGGAGATAGGACAAAGACACTGTCTTTTTTTAGTAAATTTGCTCCTCTTTAAGAATCTTTTTTCAAATTTCGGATATCTTCAACATTTTCAAAGATATTTGCAAAAAATCAAACCCCCTTTTTTACTGAATTGTTTATAACTTTTGCAATTTTTTCGAGCCCTTCTTGAAGTTTTTCAAAAATTTCCTAGAGGTCATTCTGAATCTAATGAGTCCTGGATCATAATTTTCAGTGCCCTTGGATAGAAGTTCCAAAAAAAGGATCTTGTGACCCAGACTAATTGATTAAATAGTTTAAACTGAGTTTATGAAAACGCAAATCATTACAATTCATCATTCAAATTCATTTTGACTATAACTGGAAGAAGACTGGGAATTCATGAATCTCCCATCGCGACTTTTCATCATGATATTGCAAAACAAATAACATAAGTTCATCACACAATATTTGACTCACCTGTCAAAACTGAGAAGTACAGAAAAAACGTATCAGTTCTTTTAGTAGAATTAGGTTTCAACTCTTGACTTCTAAAATCGTGATCAACTGGTTTGTAAGTAACTTCTTTCAACTCTTCTATTTCACCATTCTGATAGTTGTCCATTTCCATGCTGTCTTATCGAGCGAAAGAGTAAATCTTCTTCAACACACTGAAAACGCTGTTTTCATGAATGTATCCCATCCTTATCTTCCCATTCAATTCATCTAGAAACCAATTTGAACAAGATTTACCTGAGGTATTATGCTATCTTGTTCAATCATCGAAGTGAAGGGTATACATACATGAGGTTTCTATCAGAACGATATGAATGTGTGCAGAGAAATTTTGAATTATCTCCATAAGTAATCCACGATTTGTGAAGTAGAAAAGGAGGCTGGTATTTTCCTGGTCTTCTGGCGGTGACCAGGAAAAATCTACGCTCAACAGTAAAAGTATTGCTTTCACGTCTTTAGTTCATTTTAAACTGTTAACAAAACCAGTACATCAAAGTTCCAGATTGATGAATTCAGGTTGAAAAATGCCAATATATAATAAATACATCAATAAAAAAATGGTAATTATTTAATATGTATTGCATCTAACAAAATCATTCATAGAAAAATATTTTTAATACACTTACAATATCAATTACAATATTATCTGATTAACTGAGTCTCAATGAAATATTGAGACTCAGTTGATCAGATAAATTCAATACGTCCGTCCTATCTGCTCAGTATTTCTTGAATTTCAAGAAAACTTTTTCCTTTGGTCTCTGGCAACAAGAAGTACATGAAAATAAAGATGCATATGCAACCGATACTGAAAAATCCAATGCAATAGTGAACCCCCAAAAAGTCGGAAACAATAGGAAAACCAGTGGTCAAAATTAATACGAAGATATTGACTATTGTCATAACGACAGATGAGGCGATTGACTTAAGTTCATTTGGAAAAAGTTCACTGAGAAGGGAAAAAGCAACGCCACCCATACCTAGTGAATAGATGGATATATAGATTAGTATGAAAGCTACTGGCAGCCACCTGATGTCTGCGATTATTGGTGAATGAATGCTGTTCAAATAGAAATAGACAGCGAGAACCGCAAGTGCCATGGCAGTGCCCATAGAGGAGAAGAGTAGCAGCGGTCTTCTACCAAGTCGTCCCACAATTGTAGTCGTTATGAAGTAGAACAGTATTTTCACACATCCCACTAAAATAGCTACGGTGTTTCCAGACAAATTTGTACCGGCGTCGTTGAAAATTGGCCCCAAGAAGCCCATGATTATGGGAACTCCAGAAATGTACGTTGACATACATGTTCCCAAACCGATTATGAACCCTCTCCTCAATGCTGTCGTTTTGAACATTCTCTTCAGTCCTCCACTACCAGCTTTGCTGCTAGCCTTCAATGTCACCTCAATCTGTTTATAATCTTCTTCGATTTCTTGGGCGCTCTTGTTGCTTCTCAATTTTTTCAGTATGTTTAAGGTAGCTTCTTTATCCCCCTTGGAAGCTGTATAAACTGGTGTTTCAGGTATCAATAACCAGAGGAATATCAGTTGCGGTATCAAAGGTGCTACACATAGAAGAGTGAACAGTTTGATGCTCGTTATTGGACCCAAAAGGTATCCGTAAAGACTTCCACAGGGTATGAAAAACAACATCAAACATCCATACTTGGCTCTATTGTGATCTTCACAAATCTCATTCAAATAAATCGGTAACGCAACAAATAATAAACCCAGACATAAATTGGCGATACTTCTTCCAGCGTAGTACAGGTACATATGTCTTCCGAATGCCACTGCTATGTTGGACAAGAGAGTTCCCAAGGAAATACATATCAATGTATTTTTTCGCCCGATGAGATCTGGCAGTTTTCCGAAAAAAAGCGACCCAAAAATGGTGAATAGTGAAGACGATCCAACTAAAATAGATATTTGGTAAGTTGTAATGGTTTCGCCCAGTGGGTTGATCTCTGGGTTGGTTGACTTCAGTTGAGGAATCACGGGGGAAGTCCAGACAAGGCATGATCCGTATACAACCGTTAGAAGGTTGGCTGGAAAAGAAAACCATACTGAAATTTCATTATACTTTTCTATTGAACAGAGATGTTTACCTCCCTTGATTCATACAAATCTGAACAGATATTGAATTTTTATAAGAATAGCTGATAATCATGTGCGTTCAAACTTGTGGCTATGAACTGGTATAGAAAAGAAGCCTACACCAACTCTAAAATTGCTGGTTCAAGCATCAGAAATACTCCGTCATATTTTTGAAACTAATCAAAGGAAGCTTTGGATGTGTGACACGATAGCAAGTATACTAGAAATATATAGCCGTGTTAGGAATCACACGTTGAAAGGTAAGACCTCGTTAGTCCTTAGCGCGTACAAGTTTCTCAACTTCTGAGAGTTGTCGTTCGTATGGGGGCGACAGCTGATTAACGGAAAAACAGATTTTAACAGATTTTTTTTTAAATACAACTGGTTGAGACCCTGCATCTCTGAGAAAGAAAAAATTTGGCAGTCAATAAGTAACACAACCATTACAACAGGTTCTAAAAATCTTGAGCTATGGACAACGGACCGATTGGCAGACTGGCAGGGGACTTCTAGTTGGTACAGTGATCACTAAGTGGGATAAAGTGATTCAGCAAATAGTGGAATATCCTATGTCTTCGCTGGGATCTATTACACACCAAATAGGCGAGTCTAAATGGGGAAGCGGATGTCATCCGCTGGAACAACTCCATATTTCCATCTTGGCATGCGTTAGAGTGGTACTATTGCCGGAAAGTGGAAATATGGGTCTACAACACCTAAGACATGTTGTGTGGTAGTACCAAAATCAGATCTGTTTCAGGTTGCAGAAAAAGAACCTTACTTGGTTACTTTTCCATCGCATTCAGCTTCTTATCCACCAAGACCACATTCAAGTAGACCTGTTTCCTGATAATAACTTCAAGATTATACAGGAGGCAGAGATTTTTCTGGGTCTCTTTCTTCGTAGGCCTTCAATACTAATCATGTTAGATCAGATGGACATACGATAGAATCTCACAAAATTTTTGTTCGATAAAGTATAGTTTGGGAACCGGGTAAATTGTGAAACTCGATAGGAAGTGAAAAGCCTTCATTAATTGGCAGGCATCTTGAAAATTGAGGATAAATTTCGAAGAGAATTTGGAAAAATGCAACTATCATACACAATCTTCCAGACATTGGAGGGGAAAGTGATCGATGATACAGGATACATGCTTCGAGGAAGATTGGGGGAAATAGTAGTGGTACTGATGACTCCAGAAGGGATCTTGTTATAGAACTATGTATTGGGCGAGTCATTACCATATGAAGGTCCTCAATTGAGGAAGAAAGTCGTGAACTAATCCTGGTAGGACTTGGGCTCCATATATTTCCGAAGTAAAATGATTCAGTTAACGGTAAAAGTTGAATATTTTGAACATAAGATATTTTGACTTGGTTGCAGATGAAACAAGGGGTCATCAAGAATGAACTAGGTAGGGTGAAAAAATGGAAAAGGCAAGAGAGGAAGGCAGGGGATTGAACAATATACAAATGTCGGAATATGTTTAGAAACGACCATTGAACATGTTGCAATGATTGTATTGATTCAAGGTTTAAACGGAAATGAAAAATGATTAGAGGTGTTTCAAACCTGAGTCACTGATTCTATATATGGTCCCTCAACTAGCTGCGAGAGAACCATAGTCTTAGTACTAAACTAGATCAGGAAAAGGCTCGATAACAAACATAAATTACAGAGAAGATATACCTGGTAACACACATAAGACTTGGAGGAAACAGACATGTCACACAGCTTCCAAGGAGTAAACAACTATACGTGAAATATCAGTTAGAGTTAGAGTTGAATTTTTTTAAATTGTTAGTTTTCTTCTGTTATGAGATTATCAATATTGATATTCTCATATAAATATCATATCACATCATATAATATTGATATTCTCATCCTTGCATTGAAAAATAATGGCAAATGAAAAAGTGGTATTAGAAAATGATGATAAAGAATATTCGAATTGTTTTTGAGTTTCCAAGGTGATTTTCAATGTGATGTAATATGTGTTCTATAAATTAGGCAACCACTTTATTGAATATCCAATACTTTTCTATTTAGTCACCTGAATTAACACTACTAACGGAGAAATTTCATGATATTATGAAAGGTATATTTTTGTTGTCATTATGAACATAGTTTCAATACTAATCTCTTCAGATAAAAGATAAAACTAACACTGATATTCTGGCACTTTTACAACTGTTTACCGTGATATTAGAATTTGAAAAAGGTATTCAATGAAAGATATTATAACTCACCTGTTAAAACTGAAAAGTAGAGAAACCATGTATCGTTTTTCTTAGTGGAATTGGGTTTTTCTTGGACGTTGAACTCACTGCAAACTGGTTTGTAAATAACTTCCTTGAAGTCATCAATACCGCGATTGTGGATATTCTTCATGTCAATGCTGTCTTGGAAGAATAGAAAAATCAATCTCACTGATCGTAGATCTACATGAATATCACATCTGTCTCAGTGTTTATAGACTTATCCACTGGTTATTGACTGGAATAAAGGGATCACCGCGAATATCAGCGCTCTTGTACGATACTACTCGTGTAACTGTTTTCAAGACTTGTTTTCATGCAGTCGGTGTACGATTGATATATGTTTATTATGGTTCCGACATACAAGTAGAATAACAAAGATCCAAGAACTACCAGTCCAATTATTTCCGTACATAATTTTGCACTCTTGGCCTTCCCCTTATCTCTCTCAGAATTCTGTGACGCACTTAGCACGCATGTTTCATTGGAACATCTCTATCAACAACTACAATTGTTAGAATTTTCAGTTTGCAGTACAGGGCAATATTTTATTATTGCATTGTTGATAACTGGCAGATTGATTCTTGAAAAGAAGTTTCGAAGATGAGAGTTTTGGAGCGATTCAAATCCTAACTTATCTAAGTTCGAAAGAATGAAAAAATGATCTCTCTGGGCGTCATGTTCCGAAGTTGGCAACACTGACTAAGAGTTCATCTATTGTCTGCTTGTCATGCCACTAGATCACTAGTTACTATTTTAGGGCCGGTTTATCAATCGCCAGCTAACCTCATTTGACTAATGGTTTTGTCTTAGCTCCTAGTCAAACTGTTTTTCGTTATTATGTTACCATTTTATGCCAACCTTAGTTAACTAACAGTTATTAAACATTAGCATCAGTCAGGGTATGATAAACGATTTGAATAGTAACTGCAACATTGACTATCAGCTAAGCTTAGCTTCGAGGTAGCTAACAGGAGCATTTAACTACATATTGATAAACCGGCCCTTAGTCTTGCGTCTTGTGCGATCAGTTGAGGTTATGGCAGTGTCAGCGTAATCAAGTGTCAAGTCAAGTTAATGTTAGTAACTCTAATACCGGCTTCTGTTATTGATGAATGCGTCACAATGCCGAAACGTCAATGCAAATTCACTGATACTTATTGCTAGAAGAAGAGGAGAATTTCATTTCTGTAAATGTTCAATCTGTTCTTGAAAAAAAAGTACCGCAATCAGCTTCGACATATGTTCCGAGATGTGATCATCTAATTTGGAATTATATTGTCTGCTCTACAGCAGCTAAGGCCTCATTCATTCGTTTATTCATCTTCTGTATTCCCCAAATATATTCTACTACCTGCTCAATATTTCTTGAATTTCAAGAAAACTGTTTCCCCTAGTTTGTGGTAACATAAAATACATGAAAGTGAAGCTAAAGAAGCAACTTATAATGGAAGTAACAATAAAATATCGCAGTAACAATACTATAGGAAAAGCAGTTGTCAAAATCAATACAAGGACATTGACCACAGTCATAACAAAAGATGTAGCTATAAACGTGAGGTCATTTGAAAAAAATCACTCAAAACGGAATAAGGAATAGAACCTAGTCCAAATAAATAAATGGAGATATAAGTCAGTATGCAAACAACTGGTAACCCCTCTCTGGCAATCATTTGTGAATTGATTCCATTCAGATGAGAGTAGATAACGAGGATGTTCGTACCGACATCGTTGAAAATTGGTCCCAATGACAGAAACACCTGACAAGTGTGTTGACAGACTTGACCCCAAACCGGTAGTGAAGCCCCTTCTCAAGGCTTCCGTTCCAAAAATTTTCTTCACAGCGCCTACATCAGCCTTAAGACGCGACTTCAGAGTTGCGTCAATTTGCTTGTAGTCTCCTTCGCTGCTTTTCAATATTCTCAAAAATGCAACAGTCGTTTTTCTTTTTCCTTCCGAAGCTGTGTGGAAACAGGACTCAGGTACAAATAAGCACAAGAATATCGAAATTGTCATGACCAATGAAGGCGTAGTTAAATAAAACATACTCTTCAAGGATGTTGCCTATGTACCAGTCTGCATTCATTCTGAAATTCGCCTCTATACGCTCGGTGCGACTGTCCCGACTAATGCCTCTCCATAACATAATGGAACCACCACCAAAGCTAACTTTATGTACAAGATTTTTTTTTGGTACCTTGGGAGCTGTCTGACTTGTCCATTTAGTCAAAGCCTTCAGAAAACACTGCAGTCTCTTGGGCTTATTGCGTTTATTCTCCCATCTTCTCATGCCATCCATTCCATCAGTCTCGTTCCTTGTACTAGTTGGTACTCTGCACTCTGTGTGCTTCTTATTGGTCCATGTCCTAATCTGGTACCCCCAGAGCTGGTTCAGGACCTATATATCAAGTTGATGATCCGTGTCTAGCGCATTCATCAGCTTTATCATTATCTATGATTTCTGAATGCCCTAGCACCCAGTACAAAGTTAATTTGTTCCTGTTTGCAGGTTCAGTCAGTTTTTCATGGCATTCCCAGACCAGTTTTGATGTTACCTTCGGGTTTGTCAGAGCCCCTAGGTCGCTCTTGCTGTCTGTTAAAATATTGATCTGCTCATTTCTTTGAGGTCTCAATTTAATAACCCTTGCACACTGCAAGATAGCATACACTTCCGCTTGAAAGACGGATGTGTATAGTCCTAGCGGATAACTGTAGTTTGAATTTCTATCCGCTCGGTATATTCCAGCTCCCGTTCCATGTTTGGTCTTCGATCCATCTGTATACCAGGGTCTTCCACTCCTCACGGCTTATGATTTTGGCCGTGACGTTTGTGTTAAAGGTGTACTTCGGTGTCATGTGGTCCGTGCACATATTCAATATGTGCTCCTCCACTTGTTCCAAAATTTCTGTTCGGTTTGATCTTTTGTAGTTCAGTGAGTTTTCCAGTCTGAATTGGCCCATCTTGGCTTCCCCCATTATCACAAAGTGCGAAGGAGGTAGATTCAGGAGTATCTCCAATGCAGCTGTTGGGGTAGTTCTCATTGCTCCCGTCATTCCCAAACATGCAGGTCATTGCACCTTACCTAGTTTGTTGATGGCGGTCGCCTGCTTCATCTTAGGCTACCAGTCTAGAGAAGCATATGTTATCAAGGGTTTAACCACCGTCATGTATAGCCAATATACCATGTCTGGTTTTAGCTCCCATGTTTTTTCATAGGTGCGTCTGGCGAGCATCAGTGCTACCTCCGCTTTCCTCTTCATCCTGTCCAAGTGATGGTTCCAGGTCAGTTTGGAATCTAGAATTACTCCTAGATATTTAACCTCCTCCGACACTTGTATTTCTTCACCTCGAAGTTTTAGAGGTCCAAGACCCTCCGTTTTAATTCTCTTGGTGAATGCTACTATGGTCGATTTGGAATGTACATTCCAGTTGACATGGGTATGACCGTCTAAATGTGTGACGTGGGAGAAGCCTAGGAACTCTCAGAGCGTCTTGGATTTGAACCAACTTCTTTTTGGTCATCTCTTGGCGTTATACATCTCTTACATCATTGACCAGGCCACTTTATGTACTCCCCAGCCTAATTGTGTCGCTTCACAATATGAGAAACAGTTGATTGATGGATATGCAATCTTCGCCCAATATTTTTTTGTCTGCGTTCCTCGTAGACTAAAGTTACAATCTCAACACAAATGAATTCACTGAAAACTAAAAAAACTACAGAATCAACACATGAAATACTCGGAATGTCATTTTCAGAACAATGAACAAAACAATAGACATTAATAGTGGCAAAGGCACACACCTCAAAGTTTGTAATTTGTACCATTATTTTACTCGTTCAGCTATAGCGACTACGTTTTATCTATACTGAATGGCAATTTATGTGAAATACTTTGGCTTTTGAACATTCATCAATGAAAATAAAGTGCTTCGATCACCACCAAGTGATCATCTTCAAGAGGAAGATCAGTTTGATCTTTCCCTTCAAGATGACCTCTTGGTGATAAAAACACGTGTCGAGGTGTTAGAATAACGGTTTGATGTTGGTAAAAAGTCCAGTAATATTCATTACCACACCAAAAATTCCAAACAGTGCATCAGAAGTAAAAAAATAACGTGTTAAAAAAAATTAACATGAAAGAAACATCTTGAAATAAAATATGTAATAATTTTGTCCGAGAGTGTATATATTATTCATTTATGGGTTCATGACTAGGAACATCACAATCAGTACCGCACAGTTGCAGTTATTTATTTTTCCAAAAGATCTTGAATTTCTGAGAAACTCTTGCCTGTGGTTTCTGGAAGTAAGAAATACATGGAAACAAAAATGAGAACGCACCCCACACTAAACATGCCAAGACAAATATGCACTCCCAAATGATCTACTAACAGAGGAAAACACGTAGAAATAATAGTTGAAACTATTCCAACAACTGTACTAACAAAACTAGAGGCCGTGGATCTAGCATCATCAGGAAATAGCACAGCTAGAAACGATATAGGGATCGGACCTACTCCCAAAGAAAAGCAAGCTATATAAGCTAGAACGCACAGTATTGGCAACCACCTAATGTTTTGAATGCTTTCTGCATTGGTCGAATTTAGATAAAAATAAACGGCGGTTATGGCGAGAGTCACCGCAGTGGCACTACAAGAAAACAGTAACAAGGGCCTCCTTCCGAGTCTCTCTACGGCAGCGAACGATGCGAAGAAGGAAAATAATTTCACGACCCCCACCAAAATGGCCACTGAATTTCCAGATAAGTTCGTATTGGCATCATTGAAAATTGGCGCTAAGTAACCCATTACATCAGTAGCTCCCGATACAGGCGTACTCAGGCAAACCACCAACCCAACTAAAATCCCCCTTCTCAAACTCTTCGTCTCAAAAAGGTCTTGGAACCCCACCCTGAAACTTTCATCTCGAGTTCTCACAGTAGCATCAATTTTCAGATAGTCTTGTACAATTTCTTCCTCTGTTTTGTTGCTCCTCAATTCTTTCAAGGTCTTGATGGTTGTTGCTTCGTCTCCTTTAGCAGCTGAGTAGATGGGAGACTCGGGGACTAGTACCAACAGCAGTAATATTTGCGGTATCAGAGGAATTGCACATAGTAGAGTGAACCACCTGACGCTGGTTACAGAACCCACAAGGTAGGCATAAAGACTCCCCAGAGGTAAGAAGAACATCATCAGTCCTCCATGCTTTGCTCTGTTGTGGTCCTCGCAAATTTCATTCAGATAAATTGGAAGAGCGGACGTCAACAGCCCGAGACCCAACTTCTGGAAGCATCTGCCAACGATGTAGACGTATACGTGGGAGCCGAAAATGACCATTGTGAGGTTGGAGAGGAGTATCAAACATGATATACCTACTAAGGTGTATTTTCTTCCTACGATATCTGGTAGTTTTCCAAATAATAGTGTACCGAGTATTACGCACAGTTCAGGTACTCCGAACAAGATTGAGATCTGAACGGTTGTTATTGCTTCTTCCAGAGGATTGACTTCTGAGTCGTTTGATTTGAGCTGAGGAATGACTGGGGATGTCCATGCGGCGCAGGTACCCTTCACGAACATCAAAATATTTGCTGAAAAAAAAGAGAAATTGATTCAAGTGTTCAAGTAGTGCTTTCACCGATGTAGGGTTCACATCACAACTCTGCGCCCCAAAAATATTTATAGTTATCACCATGAGAACGAAAATACTGATTATAACTAGTATATACTGATAATGAGTGATTTTTTGGTGGTTTGGTCTATAATTTAACTATGAATCGACTTACGAATGAACAACGCTTGCAAATCATTGAATTTTATTATCAAAATTCATGCTCGGTGAAGAAAGTGCAACTTGCACTTCTTCCAATTTATGGGCAGTTTCGTCGGCCTACTAAGGGAGCTATTCGAAAGCTTGCGACTAAATTTCGAACCCAGCTTACATTATTGGACATTGAACCAACAACACGCATACGTAGAGTGAGGACTGAAGGAAATATTGCGGCTCTATCCGCCAGTGTTCGTGATGACCGTGAAATGTCGATTCGCCGCCGTTCGCAGCAATTGGGCCTCTGTTACTCCACTACGTGGAAAATTTTGCGAAAGGATTAGGGTGTAAAACCTCATAAGACACAGCTGGTGCAAGAATTGAAGCCACACGACCTCCCACAACGTCTAACATTTGGTGAATGTGCGCTGGCAGAGTTGGAGGAAGATCCACAATCTTATCGAAAAATTGCGTTCAGCGACGAGGCTCATTTCTGGTTGAATGGATACGTTAACAAGCAAAATTGCCGCATCTGGAGTGAAGACCAGCCACAAGCATTGCAAGAGCTACCGATGTATCCCGAAAAAGTCACTGTTTGGTGTGGACTATGGGTCTGTGGCATCATCGGGCTGTACTTCTTCAAAGACGACAATGGCCGGAACGTTACTGTGAATGGCGAGCACCACCGTGTGACGATTGACGACTTTTTGTTGCCCAAATTGGAAGAATTGGACATGCCTGACATGTGGTTTCAACAAGACTGCGCCACATGCCACACGGCACGCGAAACGATGGCCCAATCAAAAGCCGCCTCCGGTAAACAGTATATCCCACGTTTGGGGCCCGTCTATTTGCCGCCTAGATCGTGTGATTTAACGCCTTTGGATTATTTCTTATGGGGTCATGTTGAGGCTCATGTCTACAGGGATAAACCAGCAACGACTGACGCTTTGGAAGCCAACATTGAAGCATCAATACGTAAAATACCGGTCGATATGTTAGAGAGAATGTGCCAAAATTGGACCTTGCGCATGGGCCATCTAAAGCGGAGCGGCGGATAAAATTTGAATGTAATCATCTCCAAACATTAAATTATATTTATCGTTCTACCGATTCTAATGAATATGAGGTTCATATTTGATAGAACAACTTCATGCTTTTTAAAGGAGAAAAAAACTGAAAGTGAGGATCTATCAAATAAAATCGAATATCCACTTGAAGTATGCCTTGAAGCAAGGTTGCTATCTGTAGACCAAAAAGACCTATACAATCACTTCACACAGACGTAGCAGGACTCATTGATCCAGAGACATTTATTTGGTGGCGAAAATAAATTCTTGAAAATTTTGTTTGACCACACACTCTTCAGTCAGGTGTAGGGTTATAGAACTAATTGGAACCTGGTAGTGACCAGTACCAATAGTATGAATGAAAACAAAAAATTGATCTACACAGAGATGTAGAAAACCAAGCATAAATGTATTGAAAATGCTATGAAATTGAATAACGATGAAAAAAAAAGCAAATCAAGAAGGTACCTATAAAAAAAATATTCAGAAAATAATGGAACAAAAAACCTGACAGAAGGTCGCAAGAGGAATGATGAATTGCCAGCTGGAATACTGATACTGAATACTCCAGCACTAGCTGAAGGAACTCTGTTAATGGAGGTACCAAAATTTTATGAACTGTGAAAAATAAAAAAGGGAAACAAGCAGAGGACGTTGAAAATTTGAATACAAATGAAAAGTGGGATCCTCTACCAACACCAAATATTGAACAGATAATAGACTCTAAATTGACTTTTACACAGGCTCAAATGACTGATTGCCATTAACGGCTTCCAGGTGAGTTTGAATGAACTTGATATTTTGGGAATCGATAATGAACAAGCTATTACATGATCCAATCGTGAATGCGAAAATGTTGTATTGTAATGTGATGTATTGTGATCGAACAATTATCAGAAAACTTATTGGACTCTACTTTGGAACTAAATATTATATATTATATACATATAGATACCATTTCGTGATAGACTGTATAGGAACTATTGTGATGACAAAAATTAGAACTTGTTGAACATATATTTATTTTATGTTGTGTTGAAATTCTGCTCACAATACTTGATAGGTTGGCTATATTGTCATTAGATGATTATTTTTGACGTGGAAACATAATGAATATTCGTATCACTGTTGTTTTAGAAAAATTGTAACTGTGCGTGTAAGAAAGTCAAAAATTGATCCTCACCAGTTATTACGACCAGATATAGATACGGAGTGTCGCTTTTCTGCTGTCTGCTTTTTGGTTCCATCTCCAGTGCAGTTGGCACATAAACCTCCGCTTTGATCTCAGTATCAGTAATCTCGCTATTATTTTTTTTATCCATCATCTATAATCATCAATCTCAGACCCCGGTTGAATAGATACTCTCCACTACTTGAATATTTTGGTAATGAGAGAAAAACGAACAAATGTCGATAAATCTGACGATCATATCAAACACTATCAGTTTTCCAAGGTTAAAATGTATCTATACCAGGTGAGTTGAAATTGATCTCGATGGCAATCGTAGTTGCAGTTGAAAAAAGAGTTTTGTACTATCAATTTATTCTGTCGGATTTGTTGGTAGAGGTGAGAAAACAATAAAAACAGAAAATGAAATTCTGCCACGTTTCGACCTTTTCATTGGGTCATCCTCAGAATACTTAAATAGAAAGAAAATAATAGAATGGAAACGTATAACATACAATAACATAGCAATACGATAAAATGAAATCATTTCAAAAGATTAGCGTTACATGAAAACTCACCAGTAGTTTAGAATTTCTTTGTTGAGAATATATACAGAATTTGTGATTCTATTGTTGATTTGTTATTCTACTCGATTGACAAAAAATTGTGTTTGCCATACGTCCGAACTTGTAATCTTCCATTATATTTTACATTATAAATTCATTTATTCATTCAGTACACAAGTTTGATATACAAAAAAATTACAAATTTATAAATATCTTACAACATAATTGAACTATGTACATATAATTAACATTCGAAAGTACATTTAATGAAAAACGAAATATACATACATATCTATAGATTGCTAGGTTAGGTCATATTACAGAAACACCAACCGAAAATACCAAATATCATGAAGAGTTGCCACTAATATACTTCTTTAATGATGATTTAAATTGGTTTACTGAATTGGATTCTTCAACAAATTGTGGTAGTTCATTTAATTCGTTTGAGCCTCTATGAAATATACTATTCTTTCCAAATGTAATGCTATTTTCATTAATGTAAAAATTGTTATTCCTTCCCGTATTGTAATCAGGAACTTCATTATTTCTCAATAAAAATTTTTGAAAATAATGTTCAAGCGGTGTAGGCACATTATTTTTGTCATATCGACGGAAACTAAGATTTTAGTGATAACCTTAAATAATTTATTATGGAATCAAGTGTCATAATTCGTAGTTATAGCCACTTATAGTCTATATTATAAACTATACTACTATATTACTTTACTATTATACTACTATACTAATATACTACTATATTACTATACTGCTATACTACTATACTACTACTATATTATAAATTTTATATGGCGTGTTTTGACCGGAACTACAGGCTCTAAAAACGTTGAAATTGAAAGTTGTAGGGAATTTAAACTTCTTCAATATCGGTAATGGATACTAATAACGAAAAACCCATAGGAAATAAGATATTTGCAACAAAAATGTGCAAAAAATCAATTTATGTGACCTTTGGTGAATTTCAGTATAGTCTGCACGAAAGTGCATTCGACAACATTTTATATGTGTGATAGTTTAACTTGTAAAAAGCGAAAAGAGCACTAGCCCGAGTATAGATCCTTGGGGTACACCTGATTCCAATAAAAGGTTATCAGAGTAGTTCCGTTTATTAAGGTATAATGAAATTTCTACACAAGTGAAGAAATTAAGTAGCTGCTGAAATTGTGGAACATATCTTTTACTTCCGACATAAGTTGTGAAGGTTTCAGTGTATTATGTGCTTTTTCAGTTATATTACACCACAGATGTCAAACATGCCTACAATAGTTTATTTGAAGGTGATTGACAATGTTTCATAATGAATGTTGTTAGTTCGGACTTCCATTGTCTAATATCACAATAGCTGAAAATATCAATTTTATCAAGCAAGAAAACCCTGAGATGAAATTACAATGGAATAAAATACAAATGAAAAATAGAACAATTGAACAAAAAATACAAAATTTAGAGATTCCTAACCAAGTTACTTCACGACGTTTCGATTGTTAGTATGTACAATCGTCTTCGGGTGATGACTGGACTGATTCCTTCGAGAGATGACTATTTATAGGTCGTTCGAGTACTTTCACTTATCCCCGCTTTCCATTTTCCGCTTCACTGGTTCCGTGGGAGATGACCGTTTTGGCGGGAGTTGACCATTTTTCGCTAGATGATGGGTTTCCATACTGAATACTTGTTGGACAACATGTATGTGGCTTCTTTGAATTTCCTCCTAAGCTAATGTTCCTCTTTGTGTATGATATCAGCTTGGGACCAGTCGATGTTGTGTTGATGGGGCCAAACATGGTCTGCTATTCCTGATTTGCTGGTTTCCCCTCGCTGTGTGTGTTTCTTGTGCTCGGCAATGCGAACATTTAATGGCCTCTTCGTTTCACCAATATAGGATTTTCCGCACTCACAGGGTATCCGGTAAATGCAATTCTTGCAATCGCAGTCCGCGTTTGGTGGCCTGGTTTTCGTGAGGCTACTACGGATGATGTTTCCGGATCTGAAGCAGGTTCTGATGTTGTAGTTGAACCCAATTCTTCTTATCCTTTCCGATTGGTCATAAATAAAAATGTGAATTTTGACATATTTTTTTCTGTAGTTTGTATTCGATTGCAGAAAAACATGCTGTCAGCGAGCTATCTTGTTATCCAAAAGAAAAGTTCTTACTATCGACAGTTATAGATATCGAGATTTTTCGCATTCAATGAATGAAATTATTTCAATAGGAGTTGCTGGGATTTTCTAGGGACTGTTTTACGAATTAATGTTACCGGTGAGTTATTCATCCATTCAAGAGCTCTTGAATTTCTGAAAAACTCTTTCCTCTAGTCTCCGGCAACAAAAAGTACATAAAAATGAAAATCAGAAAACAACAAACACTGAATATTCCAAAACAGGAATATACTCCTACGTAGTCCACCAATAGAGGAAAAGACATGGCACATAGTGTACTGATAATAGTAATGAATGTCCTAACAAAGCTGCAAGCTGTGGATCTCATGTCATCAGGAAATAGTTCACTCAGAAGAGGCGTTGGAATTGAACCTATTCCGGAAGAAAAGCAAGCTATATAAACTAAAACGCACAGTACTGGTAGCCATTTGAGCTGGTCAACTCCTGTTGTATTGGCTTCATTCAGATAAAAATAGACGGAAGTTACTGCAAGTGTCCCAGCAGTGGTGATAGAAGAAAAAAGTAGCAGAGGTCTTCTACCGAACTTGCCCACAATGACGAAAGTTACGAAGAAGAAGACCAATTTCACAATTCCCGCCAGAAGAGCCACTGTGTTTCCGGAGAGGTTTGTATCTGTGTCGTTAAAAATAGGTGCTAAGTAGGCCATAACTAGGGTTGCTCCAGACAAGGGTATACTCAGATACACAACCAACCCGATTAAAACACCCCTCTTCAAGCTCCGGGTTCCAAAAAGTTTCTTGAACCCCCCTCCAAAGGCTTCGTTTCTGGTTTCTAGAGTTGTTTCAATTTTCATATAGTCTTCTTCTATTTCTTCTTCACACTTGTTGCTCCTCAGTTTCTTCAAGATACCAATGGTGGTAGCTCTGTCTTCTTTAGCAGCTGAGTAGATTGGCGATTCGGGAATAAGTACCAATAAGAACGCTATTTGAGGTATTAAGGGCGCTGCACATAGTAGAGTAAACCACTTCACGGTTGTTTTAGGCCCTACAATGTAAGAGTAAACACTCCCAAGGGGCATGAAAAACATCATCAGACATCCATGTTTTGCTCTGTTATGGTCTTCGCAAATTTCATTGAGGTAGATGGGTAGGACAGAGGGTACCAATCCGTAACCCAAGACAACGAAGGATCTTCCGATGATATAAATGTATACATGGTTTGGAAACAAGAACATTAAAAGACTGGCCAGGAGGATCGTTGATGATGTACACAATAAAGTGTACTTCCGTCCAATAATGTCGGGCAGTTTTCCGAATAATAGAGTACTGAGTATCATGCACATTGAAGGGATTCCAAATAGCATTGAAACCTGAATAGTTGTTATTGGGTCTTTTAGAGGGTTGATTTCCGAGTTATTAGATTTGAGCTGAGGAATGACTGGAGATGTCCACACAATGCAGGCACCTCTCACGAACATCAGAGCATTGGCTAGAACAAAAAAAATCTGAATTTCATTATCATATTGCGAAAGAATCATAAATGGTCAATTTCAAAAACTTCCTACCCTCTATATCTCTCTTTCAGGAAATAATAAGGAATCAATGAACATTTCAAATTTTGTCGCAAGGTAGACCTTTTAGTACTTGTCATTTAAAAAAAATTATTGAAATCGATTTACAACTTCAAATTTTAGGGGGGTGTTTCCATTAAAAATGGGTCACACTGTATATGCATGTATATGTGTATGTATATGTATGTGTATATGCTTAATTTCAATGTCTTCCATAGATTTTAGTTGTTGTTGTTGTAATTCTGTAATAATGTTGATGAAATTGAGAAAATAAATGTATTGGAAAAAAATTATTCTGTTTTATGTTTTGAACAGAAATTGAACGTGATTGACAAGATTATTCTCTTCAAAATATTCTGTTATTTATATTTTCGAAGCCTTTGCTATGGAATTTGACAAATTCGTGTAGGTACGTCTATTAGTAGATAAACTCACCTGTGATTAGGACAAAGTATAAAAAGAAGGTATCGCCTCTCTTCTGTCTGTCTGTTGGTTCCAACTGTACTCTTTCATTCACCAATCCAGTTGGTATGTACATGATTTCTTTAATTTCTCCGGTGATCATTTTGTCCTGGTTGGTATCCATCGCTAGTACCTCAAAACTGTGAGTCTTTTTTGCTCTTTTTTTAGACTGCCACTACTCAACAACATCAACATCAAACAAACAGAAAAAATCAACACATGTTATCAGTTTGGTCGAATATATTAAATACTATCAATTTGTCAATGTTGCTATCAACATATACCAGGTAAGTTAATGAGAATTTCATTTAATGAAACATAAAATTTGTGACTTGAAAATACTTTTCAATCTGCTTGACTATTTTATGTTTTCTTGGTTATTGCAATCTGAAGAAACTGGAAAAAAAATTTCATCATTTTTTGAAGTATTCCCACTCAATATTGTCATCAGTTTGACAAATCTGAAGCCATTTTCC